CCACCCTTGGGTTGTGACACCCGGTTGTTACATTGTCTTCTATTGAATTCTTCCGTTGGTTGAGCTGCAGTTTCCCAGGTGTTAATTTCTGTCTGCTACCATGTTACACATTCAATCACTGATTCACTTGCTCTCTTAGGGGCCAGCCTGATACAGAGAAGGGCAGTTTGATTCCTGCCCTTGTTAACATTGTTACAATGTATAACTTACTTATGAAACTAAATACATTCAGTTGGAAGATGAAAGGTGAGGAGTATAAAATATAAGCTACAAATGCCATGGCACACAAATAGATAAAAATACCAAACTACAAGGAGATACAAAATGCGCACACAAATTTTAAAACACAATTCCTTATCTTAAAGTGAGAGAGAGAGGAAGGAAGAAAAGGTAGAAAAAGAGAAACATATCCAAAGAGGGGAGAGTAAATGCAGGCAAGAGAAAAAGGGGGCTTTCTGCTACAACTTCATTCATCTGTCCAGACAAGAGTTTGGGGGAAAAAAATGCTTAAGATGTTGCACATGCTTTATTAACAGCAGTTTAACTACCTTTGTGCAACTCCCACCCTGTGGGCCAAATCTAGCCTGCATAGTTCCCCATGTGTTGGGAAATTTAGTGGTGATCGAGTGGTGGCCATTAACACTGCAATCGCTCCCCCTCTAAACCCCGCACAGCTGGATCTTGCCTAGGCCTGGTTGTAGCCTTGCAGCCAAGTTGAAGCCAGGCCACTGTCGCTTGGCTGTATTGGGCTCCTACCTCTCCCACCTGGTGCCAAATATGCCCTGCAAACATACCTAGCACTGGTCATCTGGCCCACGGGGTGAAAAGGTTTGGGCACCACTGCATTAAGCAACTCAGTCTGGCTGGTAGTGGCATATGTCTGACTGGATTTGACTAAAAAGCAAGGGCAGCTGCCCTGAAAGATGACATAGGACTGGAAAGACTAGTGCTCAGTAAACATCTAAAAGTATACGTCTAGTCTGAAAAAAGAAATTTGCATAAAAACAATTGTGATGGCAAACCTGAGAAAGCAAGACACAAGCTACATGATGGTTAACCAAACAGGTTCAACGGGAATATAACTATTTGCTTTGTTCTATGGAATAGAACTAGGTCCTATGCAAGCTTTCAGAGCACAATACCTTAAAGGCCTGCTTATTCCAGTTTCATGTAATTCTGCTCTCTTGAAATCAGTGGCATTACAACATGAGGAAGAAGTAATGCAATGGGGAACTGGCTAGATAGTACACTGAAAGTTAGACAGGGCATGGTATTTAAAATTCCCTGTAGTTTCTACTTTCAGGATTTTTTTTAGTAAGTCTTCATAGAAATATATTGCATAGATTCTGAATTTCCTATTATTTTACAATCATTTTGTTCATATTAACTTCCTCTTCCTATTAATAGATTGATTACTGTAACATGTTTATAGGGAGTATGATGAGATGGCACATTCTACTCTCACACCTATGACTCGTTATATAAGTACTTTCTCCACAGTATTGAAAACACTCATTGGATATAAAAAGAGAATAGAAGTAGATTATCTGAGAACATAGAAATAAATTGATCAGTCCTGGAAATCTACACATACTCAGCCAAACAGGCCCTTGCAAGTCAATAAGACCACTTACAGGAGTAGAATTCACATGTAAAACTGTATGAAGAGCTGAGCTCGCAGAGAAAAAGAAGTATCATTGTCATTGCAATTATTCTTGTGATAGAAGCAATCATTTAGACCTAGTTGTTTATATGACCACATAGTTCTCCAGACAAGTTCTTGTGCCTGCCTCAGGAGTGGAATTCCTTTCCCACCAGACATGCAGGGATCATAGGAAAGGTACAGGTGACTGGAAGGGACCTCACCAGGTTATAGAGTCCTGCCCTCTGCTCAAGACAGGATCATCCATGACTAAACCATCCCAGCCAAGCACCTGCCTAACCTGCTCACGAAAACTTCCAGGGATGAGATTCCATAATTTCTCTAGGTAGCTTGTTCCAATGGCTGACCACCCTCATAATCAGAATGTTCCTCCTAATCTCCAACCCTGCTGCAGCTTGAGGTTATTGGTCCTACAGCCACAGAGAAAAATCCCTCTCCATCCTGAGTCACCCTTTGAGGATTTGAAGCCTATTATCAAACCCCTCCTCAGTCTCTCTGTCTTGGCTAACCATAGATCTTTCAGCCTTTCCTCATAAGTCTTGCCTCCTAGGTTCATTGTTTTTCTTCCCTTGATTTGCAAGTGTCACTCCTGTTATTACAAGCCAGGATGCTGTTGGAATTTTTGCAACAAGAGCACAGTGTTGGCTCATATTTAGCTTCTGTTCTACTGTAATCCCCAGGTCTTTCTATGCAGGACTACAGCCTAGCCACTCATTCCCCAGTCTGTATTCATAGATGTAGGGTCGGAAGGGACCACGCAAATCTTCTAGTCCGACCCCCTGCCCTGGGCAGGAGAGAAAACTGGGCTCAGTATTTGTGGAATGAAGTTTTTCTGTCCTAAGTGCAAGACTTTAAACTTGTCCTTACTGAACCTCATCTGATTGATTGCATACAATTTCTCCAATCTATTCAGATCATTTTGGATCCTAGCCCTACTTTTTGGAGTATCTGCAACTCCACTCAACTTGGGTGTCATCCACAAATTTGCTAAACATACACTTTATCTAAATAATTAAAATGGGATAGACTTTTATAAAGGATCCACAACCTGATATTGATTAGGTGGAAAATGTGAAGTCCCATCTCTGGTGAAAAAATGTGGTTTCCTTTTAGTCACCTTAGTGAGAGTGGAGGTGGTAGCTCCTTCTGCTTTAATTGACAAGGCCTTTAAATTTGTGGGAATATTTGAATTTGTGCCCAAAAATAACTGCAAGAGGATAACACTTAACTGGAATGGCTTAGTTAGGAAGTAAGGATTTGGATTAGGTGACCTTATTAAGTCCCTTTCAGCCAATGATACTCTGGATGTCTACATTGCCTCTGCTGCACTCTTGAGGCTGCTGCTGAAAAAACAAGCCTTGCCTATCTGCTCCCATTCCAGATGTTCCAAACCCAGAACAGAGGCAGTGAGGACACTTTGGGGGTACTCCTATTGCTGCTGTCAAGCAAGCCAGTAACAGATCTCAAGAGGGGAGGGAGCATCCTCACCAACTCGGTTCCTTTAAAATGTAGGAAGCAGACGCAGTTGGGCAGGGTCCTATTTTTCAGTGGCAACCTTAAGAGCATGTTAAAGAGGCAGTGTAGGCATGTCCATTGTGGCCACCAAATGCTAACACGCTTTTCTGGCTAAATAAATGTTCATGTGTGGTATGATGGGGGATAAGACTTGTGTCTATAGACATGTTGATAAGACATATTGTCTATATTTCCCAGGGGATCTTTACTACAGAAAAAAGGTGGTAAAGCTCCTGAAACTCTCTTCACCGATACAGTATTCATCTATGGGTCTTCTCCTTTCTGCAAGGAGAAGCAGCAGTGGCTGAGTCAAGTGACTACAAGTCAGCAGAACTCTTTTAGCTGCTACTGCCCCAAAATTACTTCAGTGGTGCAAGGGCACCAATACCTTTGGGAAACTAAATTGCTCCTGTGCTCACATGGCTGGAATAGAGACCTTGCAGACTGGCAGAAGCAGTGTACCAAACTCCTGGAGTCTTGAGACATATCTGAACTGGCTCTGACATTTGAACAGAAAACTGCAACACAAGAAGGATTGTTAAAGCGTCCCTTAAGCATTTAAAAAAATAATTTTGGACAAAACATTTCATATTGCATCTGAATAAGGAAAAAATCCTCAAGTATTTTAATTTATTCAAGTATATAAAAGGTTTTATTCTATCAGTATAATCTGTACCTTTCATTTCAGTTTTTATAAAAATGAAAAATCTAGTTAGACTAAAAATATATACAGATTATGTCCAAAATTTATCAGTACGAAAAGCAATACATGAGGCCCAAAAGTCAATTTATCTTGCCAGTGATTAAAATGTATCGCAAACAGAATGGCATTGGCAAATGACATCAGTTCACTGGAAAATTGATCTCTGAACATGACTTCGTTCAAGTTGATTGAACATTTCCTCTTCTGTTTCTGGAGTGAGCTGGATATTGTCTTTGATTGGAGACAGTGGATCTGACTTTTTACAAGTGGGAAGCCTTTCAAATTCTCTGCAAAGTAAAAAGTGATAGTTACATGTATTACAATGTCTAATTTCTGAACTGCAATATGAATACAGTATTTCCTTTTTCTTTTTGTAGATAGGAATGAACCCAAAATTGGAACTTAAGAAGACTGAAGTTCTGAACTCCCCTCTACTACTACCTTAACATGCATATTGGGCAAGTTACTTCACCTTTCTGCTTCAGTTATCCTTTAATAGCTACCTTACGGCAACTGTAGTTCGGCAGGCATTACACACTCTTGGTGCTCATGTCCCTCAGATGCTTGTGACTGAAATCTTTCAGCCAATAAGGTTAACTGAGGTTAAATGTGCACACTTAGGGGCTTGGTGTTCCCCCAGTACCAACAACATAAAGGGCAGTATGGACCCATCTCCTCCATATCACACCACAAAATATGTTTACTGAAAAGACCTGTGCAAGTAAAGTTTCCTTTTCCCCTGGAGGTGTGATATTTAAAAAACAAACACCCCAAAAAACTTGTTTTGCATGATGGCAAAACACAAAACTTTTAGAAGATTTTACAAAAAGCTTGAAACTGGTTATACCTTATGTACCTGGGAAGAACTATTATAAATGAAAGAGGGACACTCACCTGACCTAAAATAGCCAAGAGCCCAGACATCAGTTACTTCCATGCAGAAAACAGATTCAAGTTTTGTTCTGCCTCATTTAGAGCAAGGACTTGAACCCCAGTCTTGCATGCTTTAAGTAACTATTCTTAAACTTTGGGTCTATTGGCTATTCCTAGGTGGACAAAGTCTATTATTTAAATTGTAAATTTTACACTTCTTAAAATGAGCATGTGACCCTGAGGAAAATTTCCATTTCAATATTTTGTTACCAAAAAAACCCAAAAACAAAAAAAAGTTCATAAGAAAATTTCTGATGAGCTTTAAAGAATGGGCTATGGTACACATATGGTCAATACATCCTTAAAGAACTCCAGTTACCACAAAGAGCGTAACTTTTCATTCTTTAAGTGCTTGCCCATTTGTATTTCACTTCAATAACTAGCAAGCTGTGACCATGTGCAAAAAGAGACTGCAGTATTGTGCTAGTGGTATTAGACTTTCATACTTCTACTAAAGAGTCAATTTTCAAAGTACAAATTGAACCTCAAATAGCTGCTTTGCAGATATCCATGATGGTCATGTCCAGACAAGCATGGATGTGCAGTATGAGGTGTCGCAGACATCTGTGGGGCCACATATCGCATGTTTAGCTGCTCTCTGCACTATAAGGGAGCTGCGTGGGGTGTATTTTTGATCCCTGGATATCCAGGGGTCAAAAATCCCACGCAGAAAAAAAAGTACAGCAGTGCACTAGGGGAAGCATGCACCGCTCAAAATTGGAGCTGGGCCAGCCAGAGCCAGGCTCTGGCTGCCGGCCAAGCTCCAAGCAGCAGGATCATTGCTGTTACAGCCCCAGGAAACCCCTAGGACCCCAGGTATGGTTGCTTGGGCCAGCCCAGCATTGGCCCCAGCCTCCCTTACCGCACCTAGGGTAAACTGCCATGCACCAGGGGGTGTGTGGCACAGATATTCCTTGGGGACAAGTAGCAGTGACACAAAGTGAGCTGCTGCTAGTTGTCCCCAGGGAACCAAACATCTATGCTCATGTGGATACGGCCTGAGTGTATTTCACAAGAGAGGCAGAAACTGCCTATGCCCAAGTGAAACGACCCCATCTGACCCAAGGGATCTAGAGTAGCTAATTATACTGAGATCTTAATATATTCTGAAATCCACTTGGATAGCCTCTGAATCAATATTGCTTGACTCTACTTGGGTCTGTACCCTTAGACCCTACTTGGGTCTAAACTTTAAATGCTACAGATTAGAAGATCTGAAAGATCTGTCCACTGGCAGTCCCTGTGAATATCTATAGTTTATAACCTAGCCTCCTGTTAATTAGAACCTGATTTAGAGACTAACACTGACAGGTGTAACACCTGGTTGAAACAGAAGTCCATTATTACTTTTGGAAATAACTTGAAAGGTCTAAATGATAGAGAATTCCCACTATAATAACCTGCATTTGCCCGATCCTTCAAGCAGTTTAATTGGTACCAAAAATGCTTTGGGGAGGGGGAAGGGAATGTGCCATGCAGAAATAGTTACCAAGTGTAATAAAACTAATTGTGGGGGGTTATTACAAAAAAAGGGAGGGCCAGTGAGGGGGGCGGGGTGGGGAGGAAAGAGGACATATTATAATCAGTCAAAACCACATTGAGATCTCATTATTAAAAGGAAATAAACGCTATCCAAGTGGATTTCAGATTCTATTGATATTTTGGTATTTTTGACCTTTATCTTCGTATAAAAGACTACTAGTTGTTGTGTTAACACAATTTACTGCAAATCCCCCATCCCTTCCATTTGACGGTATAGAATTTATTACACTAGAGCAGTGGTTTACAACCTTTTTAGACCTGGGTACCCCTTCAAAAATGCTGGCTCTGACTTTTCACTCACTTTTGACTACAAAAGAGAAGAAAAAAAATAGAACAATTCTTCTGTTGCAAAGAACATGTCACGGCGGGGTCCTCGCGGAGGGCCGTGATCTCCTCGAAGTCCCTCGCTCCGTGTCAAGGCCGGCCCAAGGCACCCTCTAATTCTCGCCTGCCACGTCTTGTTGGAGTGTGCGTGTGTGTGTGTATGTGTATATATATATATAGTTGGGAGGCTGCCTATGACTCCCTGGGCACGGCTACTCGGGACCTCTGTCCCCGCGGTTCTTGGACCCCCTGGGGGTCTCCCGGTATAATGGGTGCTCCTCAGGCAATAGACCAATATGGCGCTCCCCCTCTTTGGGGCTCGCCGTGCCCGCCTCGGGCTTCTCAATAGACCAATATGGCGCTCCCCCTCTTTGGGGCTCGCCGTGCCCGCCTCGGGCTTCTCAATAGACCAATATGGCGCTCCCCCTCTTTGGGGCTCGCCGTGCCCGCCTCGGGCTTCTCAATACTGCCCCACTCTGGGGCTGGGGTCTATGTACCCCGCATACAACCCGGGTTCTGTTCCCCGCCCGCAACCCACTGGTTGCGCTCAGGGGCCCCACACCTCTGGGGTCCCTATGAGGCCTCCTCCAACCCCTACAGCCTCACCCACGCCTCCGGTCTAATACCAAAGCCAAACATAAACTAGAGCCTCCTGGCTATAACTCAAACCTAAAGCCTCCTGGCTAAACCATGGCGCCCAAACCTCTCAGAGCTGTCATCCTTCTCTCAGCTACAGCAGTTCCTGCATCGCTCGCCTCTTAGCTCCAGGAGCTCCTGCCCCTCTCGGCTGCTGGCAGGGAACTGCCAGCCTGGTCTCAGCCCTGGTCTTTATAAGGGCCAGGCCCTGCCTCCTACAGGCAGCTGGCTCTCCTTAGTTGCCCCGGCAACCCGCAGCTGTGCCCGTTACCCTGGCAACCGTCATCTGGGCTCGTTATGTCCTGGCAGTTTCTACTCCCTAGGAGCAGAGCACCGAGGTGCTCTGCGACAGAACAAAAGACCATAACAGGGAAGAACGTTTTTAACAGTATGAATTCCTATTTGAAATGTCTCGGTTTATCTTGCAATTTGCTCACCTAACAGTGGTAACACTGTGTGGTACCCTGTGGCACCCATGAAAAACTAAAGGCACCTGGTTGAAAAAATCATTGCTCTAGACAAGCATATTTTATACCAGAAGTTTTGGATATCAAAAGGGACAAGAACTTTCTACATCTGACAAACTGACAGAAGCCAGGATGTGAGGTGGAAGAAAGTGAAGATGCAATATATGTTCTTCGTTGTCATCTGATGAAAACTGTCTTAACTGCATTAATAGTCCAGTAAAACATTCTGCCGTACACCTTTACCATCATGGATCAGTTATTTCTCCATCTTTGCTACCCTCTACACAGATGTTGAGGTTTTCTTTTTGACTTCTATGTTGAGGGCAGCCAAATGCTGAATATTAAGAAATCTATCTTTTTGTTTGCCAAGCAAAATCTCCTTTAGTTGACCCAGTTCTCCAGATAATGAAACATTTGATGAAGACCAAAATGAAGACCAACAGGCATGACTAAAGATTTTAGGTGGAGGGAAACCGTTATTTATACATCATCTCAAGATTTAAAATCCAATCTTTCAGGGCTGTGATGAGATTAGAATCCAAGGTTACGAACTGAACTTGATGTATAGATGGAAGTGTTGAGCTCCCTTTCTTTTTCCTTCTGAATAGAAAGCCTTCCTTCCCTGCTTTTATATTTGTTATGGTCCTGAGGCAGATGCAAGCTCACTCCTCTCATGAAAGAAGTCCCCAAAAAGGGGAAAGAGGCACTCAGGACAATTCCACCTGGCTGCAGGGAGGGCCGCAGCTACTTAAAAGCGTCTCATAGTAATGTAGGGTGCTCCAGCACCCTGATTGAGAATCACTAGCTTAGATGAATATACATAGATAAAAAGATATCCTCCTGCTTAGCAAAACTACCACATTTAGTATAAAGAGAATAAATACATCCAGTTGAAAACTTGAAGCATTTTATAGGTTACACCAGCCAATGAAAATTAATCTCTGCTTAGAAAGACATACAAAGTATAAAGCAAAAGAAGACTTTAAAAAGTTATTTGGGGGAAAAAAAAAAGAGAGAAACAAAAAAAAAAAAAAGGTTTCCTGCTTACTGATTTATATCATCATTAAAATCAGTGGGGGACAGGGTGAAATCAATTTGCCCTATACAGTGAAGATGCTATATGAATAATGAAAAATTAAAGTATTTAATAAATACTCTCAAGTGTATTAAGTTCCCTCCCCCAGAACTGAATGTCTTTCCATTTCACAATTAAAATGGCAAGATGTAATTAAAAAAAAAAAAAAAAAAATTAAACAAATTCTTAGCTGCATCAATCAGTATTACACTATCAACCGGCACATATATCCAGCATTGCAGATCTTTTGCTACTTTAAGATTTAAAAACTGCCTATGGAGTCAGATTTAAATGAACAAGAAATTCTATCCTGCCAAGGAGAGAAACACACACACTATATCTCATTCTTCTAGACTTGTGGGAGCATTCTCCTGCTGGGGCATGTAACTACAGTATTGAAAGGAAAAGAAGAGCTTGCTAGCTATCACAATTGCAAAAGGTCAGATAGAGAAGTGTGTAAGGGGGGAAAAAAGATCCACGTCTATGAAAAAAGGTGAACTCACCTTTTAAATTGGAAGTTCTTCCAGAGTTCACTAATTGTAGCTTGCAGTCCTGGCTTATTTTCAGCATTGCAATGATTTTTCTTCTGTACACTTGGAAGTTTCTTGCTTAACCCACTGACTTTAGCAGGCATCAGTGGTTTGACTTTGCTCACAATGCGTGACCCTACAGAACTGAATTTATGTAACCCAGGAATCTGTAGATACATATATTAAAATAGTTAAAAATTCTGGCAAGCTGCAGAGGCTGTGTTGTATTTACTTTACATAAAAAAAAATAAATCTCTTTCCATTGTTCTGCTAGACAATTTAAAGAATTTTTCGTTGTGTAGATATACATAACTACATGAATACATAACTATATGTACACATTTTTAAATGAATCTGAAAAGAAATCATGTGGATTAAGGATACTGTGGAAACATATAGTTAAAATCAAAGGTAGCGCTGAGTTATTATTTAAACCAGTATCCCTCTAGCCCCAAATCTGTAAGTTATATAAAACTCATTTTAGTTGAGAATCCACCATCTCTCCTTTTTCACATCTCATTATGTAGCAAGACTTCAATAAACCAAGTTCTACAAGGGCAGCTTTCTGAGTTCTCACACAACACACATCTTAGGTTTTTATGGCACCTAAAATGAATAAGTAGAAAAAACTAGAAGTGGACAGTTTATAGATTTGCAGTTTAAGGCCTAACCCCCCCCCTTTTTTTTTTAACAACCCCCCCAAAAAAAACCCAGCCCCACCCAAAAAACCTTTGAAAAAATACAGCTCTTAGGTTCACTCAGAGGTTCACTCAACCCATGTTTGACTACAGAAGAAGAATAGCGTAATGGTTCTGTTGCAAAGAACTCAAAAACAGGTCTGCCCTATTGCAGTCTTTCTAACATTATGAATTCCTGCTTGAAATCTCTGGGTTTCTAGTGTGAAACATGTTTGTACACTTAACAGTGGTAACATTACTTGGCATTCTGTGACACCCTTGAAAGGATCTCAGAGGCAGGCCAGAGTGTTGCCACACCCTGGTAGAGAATCACTGGCCTAAAGTAGGGGCGGGCAATTATTTCAGTTCAAGGTTTACTTAACAAGTTTTGGTGAGCTGTTGAGAGCCAGGCACAAAATTAATGGTGAAGGTAGTTTAACCAATTATAGATAAAAACCCCAAATGATATGCTAAAAAAAAAATCCAAACAAACAACCCCACCCAAACATCTACTATAAAATATTTCAATTTTATTTCAACAAAAATATTATTTGTCCTGATTTATGTTTTTTGAGTGGTGTATATAGAGGCAATTGCATAATAGCTCACAATAAAGTCCCTCTCCCAAGGGAACCAAACCAGCCAGCAGGACACTCAGCCAAGAAAAGACATGCCATCCCCCCATCCCCTCCAGCAGAGCCCTGCCACTCCCCAGCCACCTGCCCTGCATATGGCCCTCAAGGACTACTTGCACCCCAAACATGCCCACCCCTCACCCCTTTGTGAGGCTAACATGGACAAAGCCAAGAGGAAGCCCAGCAGACCCCAGCTCCCTCCCGGGGCCACGTAGACTGCTCCCACCCACAGCCTGGGGGTCCCCTTTCCCCCAGGAGGAGTACAAGGCCAAACATACTGGGGGCAGCCTCACCTGGGGGAATGGGATGGGAGCCACACTGGCTGCAGTCAGGAGATGGTAGGTGGCTGGGCCAGCTCATGGCACTACACAGGGCAAGGCGAGAGGCAGGGCCAGGACCAGGGGTTCAACCTGCCGGGAGGTGCTGGGGAAACTCCACTGCTTCCGGGCACAGATGCAAAGTGCTCATTGCACAGTCCTAATGCCCAGGGAAGCTCCTGCCAGCTCTGAGCCACAGGCAGGTGGGGTATCGCTGGCCCAGGTTGAACGGGGTTGACAGGCAGACAGGGCAGGGCAGCTTCCACCCAGCATCCCCTGTGGCATCATCAGAAGCTGAAGCTGGAAGCCTCTGGGGCTTGAGTGTGGCTCACTCAAGGCCTGCCACACAGTGATGGGTGGGTGGGGATGCTGCTACCTAGCGTCCACTGTGACATCAGGAGATGCTGAAGCTAAAGCCACTGCTCATGCCACCTGTCTGAGGTCCAGATAGAATCAATTGGTGGGCTAGATATATTCTGCAGGCTGTATTTTGCCCATCCCTAGCCTAAAGTGACTATTAAATCATCCAGTTCAGGGGTGGGCAATTATTTGGGCTAGAGGGCCACTTAAGGAGTTTTGGTGAGCTGTTACAGGTGTGGGGCAGAGGAGGCTGGCAAGGGGCAGGGTAACTGATTCCATCCAGCAGAGACAAGGGTCAGGGACTCTCACCACCAAGGCGGCTGGGCATAGGGCCACACCCCAGGAGGGGCAGAGATTGACAAGAGACTGAGAAGTCAGAGCTGTCTGAATGAGAGACTGGGGCATAGGGCCCACTCAACTGGTTGATTGTTGCACCTGTGTGAGGCATGGTCAGAGCTATAGTGAGTAGCCCATAAAAAATGGATGCCCTTGAGAGCTAAGTGCAGACCAGGAGGGCTTGCCTAGCAGGAAGGATTGATTGGGAGCAAAGGGGTCTAAGAGAGATCTGCAGGTAAATAGGACAGGTTATGGCTCGCTTTAGGACCTTTGGGCAGCCTCCCTTTCCAAATATTAATAAGGCCAAGGTGTGGCAGAAAAAAGCAAAGGGAGGGGACTTTAAAGATAGAGTGGAGAGCTTTAGTCACTACATGGGGCATGATGCCCCCTTCCCCCTCTCCCTTTGTGCACTGGTCCTGTTATACAATCCCATATTGAGACCATTAAGCTGTCTGACTGAAGCAGGTCTCATTTCATTTCCCTAGGTAGTGTGCCCCTGTGGTTAATTATCCTCACAAACCCTCCCCCCACCCCAAAACAACAAAACCCAAACAACCCCAACAACTGTGCCATCTTTCCATTCAGATTTGTCAGGCTTTAGTTTCCAACCAGTTTTTTGCAGGCTTTTCCATAATAAAACTAATTTTGTGAAATAATTGAATCAGAACGAGAGAATTCATTTTTCAGAAAAACTATTTTCACTCTTAGCAAATCAAATCCTCATCTTCTAGCAATTTAATGACACATCAGCTTTTTAATTACTTTGCCAAAAACTGACATAATTGGAAATTGTTCTACAGTTCTTTGGGTCATCTCACTTGTGTCCTTTGAATGTGGTGCATTAGCGCTCTGCCAGTTTTCTGGGACTTCCCTAGTAGTATTATTCCCTGGTATTATTTAATTATTATTAAAAACTTGATATCAGCAGGCCAGTAAATCTTCAACTGGATAAATTATACAAATCCACTAATTTAGAAATGTTTCTCTTTAGATTCATTTAACATCCTCTTTAAAGACATGCAGACTAGAGACCTCTAAAAACATGTTTTTTCCCTTTCCAAACATTATATAAAGATGCTTAAGGAATAATTCTTCCACTTCTCTAGTTTATGTTCCATGCTAACCCTACACAAGTTTAACTCTACCTCTGCTGTGCCTCAGTGCTCCACATACTGCAGAAAGATAAGTAAATTTATTTAATTGGACTATAGTTTTGCAATATCAATAGCTAGACAAAATATATTATGCTTGTACCAATGCAATAAAAATAATTTTAAGTACATGAACACAGAGGGTTTTTTTACATTAATTCTTCAATTATTTTTCCCCTTTTAGAACTAAAATATTTAAAATCAGATTGGTCTTATAAATATTAAACTATAATTTTACGGAGAAGGCTTACATAATCTGCTTATTTACGATTAATAGTATATGTAATTACATGCACATAAACTACATTAAAAGACCATTATTTAGGTTACAAATAGGGGTGCACTGAGAGAGGTTCTGGGGGCTGATACCGATAGATGATTTTTAAGGAGGCATATTGGCTGATACTGATCTGATTTCTGATACAGCTGCGTGCAGCTGGTAAGTCCATTGTGGTGGAAGGGGAGGGGGGAGGGAAGGGACGTGGGGGAAGCAGATGGCAGGCTGGAGCTGTGCGCTTCTTGGCAGGGGCGGGCAGTGGCGGCGCTGGAGGCAGGCTACGGGGAGGGCGGCTGCAGCCACCCAAAATGTCACCGTAACCTCGCCATAGCCCCTCCTCCCAGCACTGCTGCCACCTGCCACAAGCCCAGCCCCCCAGTGAGAAGAGTCTGCTGCAGCCCCAGCTCCAGCCCGCAGCTATAGCCCATCTCCCAGCTGATCCAGGGGCACCCCCCCCCCCCCTCTCCCCCCCGGGTGGGAGCTGCCCCCCCGCACCCACTGGACAAGCTGCAGGTCCGTTCCGTGCCCTCCCCACCACCAAGTCCCTTCCCTCCCCTTCCACCACAATGGCCTTTCCAGCTGCACGCAGCTCTCCACGCTGCTGGGCTGTGCTCCTCGCTGCCTGCGTGCTGCACTGCGGCTACATGCACATACAGGCATTTATTGGCCGCATTGAGCCAATTTCCGATACAGCCTATTTTCTTTATATTGGTGCCAATCCAATACCAGACAGATGTATTGGTGCACCTCTAGTTGCAAAACTCATTTTGGAATCAAGGAAGGTGTTAGCAATCTTTTGAAAATTAACACAGAAAGAAAGCATTAAACAAGTTTAAATACAGGGATTTGCTGACTGAGGATGAACTATTGAAGGTCACAATTCCCTGAATCCACTCTTCTCCATGAAATCCACAAGTTAGAGTGAAGAATAAAATATGAGATGACTGTTCATCTTTTTATTTTGTCTAAAGTAGTTGTTGGGTTTTTGTTTTGTTTTTTTTAAGTGTTTTCTACAATATGGTTCAATACCATCAACATCACCCGAGGTAGGAATAACATTACAGACAAGACTCCAAGATTTTAGAGTACCTGCTAATTTGTATGCACTCATAACAATGATATATGAATTAAAATTTGGAATTTTTATAATTTCCTAGTCAGGACTTGCACATTAGCCAAACCCCATTATTTACTTGACTCCACTGATGAGTAAAAATATTACCGTACTAACTGTAAAAGGACCCAAATTTCCTGGAGTTTCTTGGAGATAAGTATCTGTAGATTTAATATAACTCCCAAGTACTTTAGTTTAATGCATTTAGCCTCACAAAAGCTGTCTGTAAAGCAGGAGATTCTTAATGTTTCCATTTTACTGATGGAACATTGAGACAAGAGATTGATTTCCCCCCAAAAGTCACATAAGAAGTCTGGAAAACAAGTCAACTACACCAAGATCTCCCAAGTCCATGGTTATTGGCCTAGCGATTCTACTGCTCTTCTTCATAAAAAGACATTTAATAATTTAATGAAATAGTACATGATTTATTTTTAAAGTAAGAAATAGATTAAAATAATTAAAAGGAAAAAAGTTCAAATTCTTTACACCGAAAGCAACCAAATAACCACAAGGTACAAGGAACACATGCACGCTGCTACACTCTTAAACTTAGGTGCACATTTTGTTTAATGATTATTAGTCTCTTGCTAAAAAAATTATATTGTTAAAATTTAGTTACAACTCTTTGAATTAGGATTGAATTAGATTCTGATTAAGTGAAGGCTTATAAAACTTTTCTGGCCAAAGAAATCTTGTTAGTACTTTTCTAGCCACAAGGTGGGGCTGGGGGGACAAAGATGGGTGCACATACTACTAGAAAAACTGACTGTGGGCCCTTGTTTCTAATGTGGCTTTATTCTTGCTCATTAAGGCATGGCTGCAGCTTGTGATATACATGAGAACTTAATATACAGGTCCTGTACTTAAGCAAAAATATATGAATAATAGAAATGTGGAATAATAGAAAAACAGAAACTGCAGGCTTGTTATTGGTTCCAAGCACAACTGAGTTAAAACTAGTTCTCCTCTTTCAGTAGTTTCTGTATAAACATCTGTAATTAAATGTTAGAAATGCTGACTGGTGAATGCATGTCAAATGTACAAACATACCTGAAACTCCTGTCCTAATAAAGTCTTCAAATAAGCAATCATAACAATTTAAATGTAGCTAGATGGACTTTGAAACACTGTGGAACACGTATTAAAATTAAAGAAGCATTGTACCTTACTCCTTAGGACTGTATTTTTTCTTTCGGTATAAGTAGTAGAAAATGGGGGTGAACTCTGAGAATGTGAATCACCATCAAGCTTTAAGCTGCGGTCACGTTCCTTTGAAGAGACAAACAATTATCTTGCATCACTCAAAATGGACTTTCCCATAATGACTGTATATGATTATACAACATAGTCTAAACTATATGTAGTGGGCTTGAGCAATTAAAAATTACCCAACAGGCACAGAGGGCTGTCAGTCCTTTTCACAGATCTCACCCATGGTCAGTGTTGTGCCATTAGAAGCCAGAAAACCAAATCCTGTTAATTTCAAGGCTGTTCTCAGTGGTGTTAGGGCAGGGGTGGTGGGCCATATCCAGCCAGCCAATTGATCCTATCCAACCCGCCAGGAGCCTGAGGAGGGAGCACTGTGCTCCATGCTGCTCTGCTGTTGCTGTAGTCAGGCAGCACGCAGACTCCTTCCTCCCTACCTCCTTTTGGGACTGCACAGCTACAGTGCCAACAACACAGCTGCTGGCCCTGCATGGGACAGGGCACAATGCGGTGTGCCAAGTAGCTGTCCTACCCACCATGATGAACCATACTGCTGCCACAGCGCTGCTAGTCCATACTGGCCACCGGTGGGGTGGGGGGAAAAATAAGAATCTCTGATCATGGCAGCCACCCCTGATTTTCCTGGTGCGGTACAGCAGCAGCAGCTCATTGAGGCAGAGACAGGACAGCTACTTGGCATGCTGCATTGTATCCTGTCCCCTGCAGGCCTGACAGCCACAGTGCCAGGACTATACAGTGCCAACAGGAAGGCAGGGAGGGGGCAGAGGAGTCTGTGCACTGCGTGGCCCTTTCCAGCCTCAACTGCAGAGCAGAGCAGCTTGGGGTGCAGTCCTCCCTCCTCAGGCTCCCAGACCCCGCTCCACCTCCTGTCCCCTCAACAGCTCACCAAAACTCCTTAAGTGGCCCTTCAGCCCAAATAATTGCCCATTTTGCGTTAGGAGCATTCCATCAGAAAATAGCCAGCCTTAATGAAGAGAGGGAAAAAAGTCTGCACTTAACAAAGCCTTTGAATAATAATATAACAGACCTTATTGAGGTGTGAGCAGCTGAGCCCAGGCTGTTTCCACACAAAGTAGTGCGCATGCTTGCTTTGGCTTAAAGCAATATCATTAATATTGAAAGCAATAGAACTTGGCAAATGCCACATGCAGGATTTAAATGGCTGCTTGTGCTAACTAAATTGCTCATACTATATAGCCTGCAACATTTTTCACCATTTCAAAGAACTGTTGTGAGAATCTCTTCTTGTTTTTATCAAGAAAGGCTGTGTAAAGTTACATACGTAGGATGCTACTTCTCCTCTGACACGTGAAAGCAAAATGCAGAACTGTAAAGTGGATCTGTATACTTAATTTGAATCCCTGAATGAGCAGCAGTGGAGAACTGAAAGCATAAAACTCAAGCACTGACCCACAAACAGCCTTATGTAAAACTAATGTATCAACTCAGGCTTTACAGATGTTGTAGCCTTGGAGTATGAATTTAAAGAGGAAAGACAGTTAGATACTTAACTGTGTAATTCATCTGAACTCCATGCAAAGCACTGATAGTTCTCAAAACTTAATTTAATTCAGAAAAATTTAAGCCCACAGAGACAGTATAGCTGAATTAAAACAAAGGCTAGTTTTCTTACTTCTGCATCTGAATCTTTGTTAGACACCTGTGAAATTTTTGAAGAGTCCAAACTGCTTTCAGACAGCTCATAAGACTCCTGAGACTGAGAAGAACATTCCATTTCTGGTACAGCGCAGGATTCTTCATCCGATTCATCACGTGCTACATCGCTTACTGTAGGTAACCTAGCCATCTCATTCTCCTGGGAGACCATTTGGTTTTCGCTCTCTTTGTGAAACTGCTGTAATGGCAACAAGCCACTAGATGGGCTGGGAGTCCCAGGATTCTTTCCAAAGTTTCCAGACCAACGGAAACAACTTCTTTGTGTTTCTCCAGGGGATGGTAAAATAGTTCTTGTAAATTTTCCAGTCTCCAAAGACTGAGGAGCATGATCTTCTATATGTTTGAGTTCCTGTGCCTGACAGTCCAACACTACCTTGGGAGATGGCTGGCTGACTTCCTCCTTTTCTGTACAATCAAACACATCCACAGGACTGCAGAAGAACCTAATGTACACAGAAAGATGAACGGCAAGTTTAGAAAGAAAAAAAAAAAAATCACTAATTTGCAAGCAAAAATTTCACCTACACAGTCAGCTAGTTATATGTGCCCAGCAATTTGGATTTGAAATACTATTGCAGTTGCAGGACTCATTCACCGTTTGTTCAGTATATGCACGAACTGCGATATTTTACCTTTCAGGGCAGTAGGAAGGGTCAACAAGGGTTAGTGCAGTTTAAGCGAGGGGCCATGGACAAGTGTTCATTTCTAGTGCTGCTAATTTCTGGGAATTTTGCAGAGTTAGAAATCCTATCAGGAGCAGGAGTGTACAGGCCTTCCAGCCTTCAGCTGCCCCCTCTTCCCCACACATTGTGGAGTGACCTCAGACTGATAAAGACTGAGTAACAACTACTACTCTATCCAGCTTGTTCTGAAGAATGCACAGGGAAGCTCTCTCTGGTGTTCCACTCCTCCCAGTCCTCTGCTGCTGCTCCCATCTCCCCTTCCATTTTCCTTAGATCAGGTTTACCCTGGTCTGCAGAAAATAGGGGAGCATTTTCCCTTCTTGCTCCACTTCTCCAAGTTTTTGGTAGGAGTGGAGCAGCAGAAGTGTACAACTGTCCTTGCCCACATGCAAGTTTTCCACATGGGAATTATCTTCCTTGTTGAAAGAGGAAGATCTTTCTTGTAGATCTGGTATGTTTTTTGTGGAAGAAACTACATAAATGCCTGTATGCTCCCAGTTTCTAGCAGGTAGAAAGGCATTCCTCCTGTTAGAAATGCAACGCTTGTCCATACCCAGCAAAACTAGGGTATAGTCATGCCCTTTTTAGAAAAAAATGAACTTACCTTCTTGGAAGAGGCTGTATTTATTGCAGCTTAATTTGAAAAGCAGGCTAGCTCTTCCTTTTCTAATGCTGCAGAGGTTGAGAACAGCTAGCTTTCTGCTTTTGTGATTAAAGGCACCTACCTCAGGATTCAGGGAATCCAGTTACCAGCTCTGCCACAAATTTTATTGACATTGGGCAAATCACCAAGAGCCAGGTTCAGTTTGCTCACATAGGTACCTCTCAAGAGGTAGTCCCAAGAAGACTATGACACTGGGTTAGGTACTTAGCTCTTACAGAGTCAATGAAGAGGGTCAGGTGCCTTGAAAAGACTGTTTCTGATAAGACACTTGAGCTCCCTAGGAAATGGGGAGTGAGAAGAGATTCCACAGGCCCAGGTACAGAAAGCTAGCTGAAACAAAATGTTGAATACACAACTGATTTGAATTTTACTTCCTCTCCAAGGCACAGAAACCTGTCTCAATGCTGCACTTTAGGTCCCTCTGTTCACCAAAGTGCCTTGTCTCTCTGGAAGGTTGTCACTTAACTGGAGACAAATAGTGATTCTCACCTTTAGCACAATAGCCTAGTTTGAAAGAGGGTGAGACAAGTCTCATCTTCCACCTCCCAGGACAGTGCCCTACCACTGGCCATGGAACAATCTGGACTGGGGCACCCTCCACTCCTGTTGAAGAAGCAGGACCACTAGCAGCAAAAAAATTCAAGTCATCACGGGGACAAAGAAAGGAAGCCTGACAATAGCCAAGTGACAAGAGCTCTCTGTTGGAAGGGGAGAGATCCACGTTCTACTCACTATTCCTAAGACTGCTAATATACTTCACAATAGTCATTGGTTAAAAAAAAAAACAAAAAACCCACAACAAACTAACAACAGAAAGCAAATAATCCTGACAGCAGGGACCAAAACCCAGTTTTCCCATCTCCCACCTGAATGGTTTAGATTCTACGTCACTGGTTCTCAACTAAGTTGCTGCAGCACCCTGGGGTGCTGCAAGATCCCCTTAGGGATGCTGCAGTGCAGCCACTGCTGCTGCCAGGCAGAAATACTCCGGGCACATGATGCACAGCTAGACCAAGAAGGGCTGTGGCATGCACATGCTTTCCTGCCTCATTAGGGTTTCTCTGATAAGCCTAAAGCAGGCAGGGGAGCCAGCTTGTACCACAGCCCTTCCTGGTCCAGTCCCCTCAACGATCCTCCCAGAAACAGATATGCAGGGCAGCCTGTAGACCTGTTTCCTGGAGATGCTGAGGAGGGTCTGGCTGTGCACAAGGCATGAGGTGCACTTTTACATAGAGGCAACAGCAGCACCCGAGTTGAGAAGCACTGAGGTAAGTTGAGGCAACACAGCAGTGATTCTCAACCAGGGGTGCTGCCCAATTCAAAAGAGTTGGGGAGGGGTGTTGTGACTAAAAGGGTTGAGAATCACTGTTCTTCATTCCCTCGTTTGCCATGTTTCTTTAGTGTGACAACTGTTGATTTATTGGCTGCCCAGTGGCCCTTCTTCAACAAGAGGGGAGGAGGTTTTGCTACCTTGCAACTGAGTACTTGTGAGAGGTAAGATAACATGTTGCCACCCATTCAGACTATGGAAAGGCTTGAACTCAAATCACCAACTTCTTCAGTGACTGCTTTAGACACTAGGTAATCATTCAAAAGGTAGGTACTGCCACCTGCTCTTCCTGCCGTGCTTTTTTAATAAGAAATGATTATTAGAGGTACACTGATACATCCGTTGCATATTGGATTGGCACCGATAACAGGAAAACTAACATTATTGAAACTGGCTTTTTCTGGCCAATAATGTCATGTATAAATACCACATGTGTGCACACAACTGCAGCATACACTTGGCTAGGAATGTTGCCCAGCAGCTTGGAGAGCAGCCTCCTGCCAATAGGTTTGAGGGGGGCCATGAGGGAGGCAGATTAAAGCCCCCACAGTGAGGAAGGGAGTGGGGCAGGGGCAGGCACCCCCCAGCCAGTGGGACCCAGTGTCCTGCTCCCAGCCCTGGGTTCCTATTTACTGCCCTGGGTGGGCAGCGCCTGCCCCTGCCCCACTCCCTCCCTCATGGTGGGGGCCTCGATCTGCCCCACCCCGGACTTATCCGGAGGAAGCTGCTCTCCAAGCGGCTGGGTTGTATTCCTGCAAATCAGATATTGGATCGGTATTGGCCAATATGGCTGGTTAATAATTGGCTATCAGTATCAGCCAAGAAAATCTTTATCAGTTAACCCCAAATGATTATAAATACCATGATTTGAACTAAACTGTCTGTATTTGGAGATGCCACAGGGATCAGACTTCTCCAGGAATCTTGGCTGATTTCAAGAAATACCCTAAGTCCATTTTGGATTGCACAAAGAGATTAGGCAGAGATCAAGTGCATAGATGCTCTACCCCTTTGTCAGTAAGATCAAACCCATGCACTAGTACAAGGGGGAGCATTATAGTCCAAAATGAAAGGCCTGAATGAATGCTGTGGCTACTATAAGCAATTCATTCTGGATAACTGTGGAACATACGGCACAGACATATGAGCAAAGTACAACCAGTTAAGAACTCAGCAGGATCTTACCATGCCAGCTACTCAACAAGAACTCTGCACCTGCTCTTACCCAGCAGGAAATGAAAGCTAAGCCAGGGAATCTTAGCTCTGAAAAAACAGCCAAACGAATCAAGAAAGAGGGCCAAAGTGTTGTGGTTTAGCCTTCACGTATGCAAGATAAAAATCAAATAAATGGAGTTACAATGGAGCAGGTAGTGAGTGTATCTACATGTTCATTAATGCACTGTAATTATGGTGCATTGAGTTTAGTATCTGTAATTACAGGTACTAAACTTAATGCGCTGTAATTGGCACTACTTTGCAGTAGTACCACTACACGCTTTTTTGTGCTCCTGATGCACAGTAGACTAATTCTACTGTGCATTAGCACGGTTTCTGCTTGCCACACTAATATGCAGCACAATAAGTCTACTACACAAGATGCTAAATGCGCAGATGTGTGGTAAATACTTGCTAACTTAAGTCAATATATTATTGTCCATTGTTCATTTATCTGTACCTTTCAGCATCTATATTCCAGTAAATCCCATTTAGACAGCTATGGTATCAATCTAGATATTTTCCTAGGGCTCCAATCCAGCAAACATTTATGCGAACAATTGTCACATAATCCATGCGAGATCCTTTCAAGGGTGCTATGGGGTACTGTTCCCAGCCTTGGCCATTTTCAAAGGGACCTAGGCTAAGCTGCAGAACTGCTGCTAAGCAGCCTGTTTCTGAGTAACCACAGTGTGAACCTTTGCAGATGTGAAAACTAACTTGGACAGCAAGCAAAGGAAACCAAATACAATTAAACAAAGCACAAGGCATAAAAGGAGAGAAGGGAAAACCATACATTAAATAATCTATATACACTATATCATAGTTTTTATCTTAAGTAGTAGCAGTGACTGATGTAACTAAATGTATTACATATTATATGGTTATTATAGGTATATTTTTGTTAAAACATTTAGATAGTTTGTAAAAATAAAAAAGCGTCAGAAGACTACAAAAATCGATAAAAAAGAAACAGAAACAGCATTCCACAATGGGGAAGGAAAGGAGATAAGAAACCTCCATCTTTCCCAAGGATACAAATCCCAACTAACTGACACCTTCCCAGTCCACAAGAGATCTTGTTCAGTCCAGTCCAGTCCCAAAAGTTTCAGTGAGACAAAGAAGTTTAAATAAAACCAAACCAAAGGTCATTTATTAAAATATTAAAACCAGCCATCTACACATATTGGGTATAGGCTGGAGGGAAATTTGGAAAATTCAGCAAATTCAAGACCTGCTGCCAATTTGCATGCCACCGTCTTCCCACCTCTCGAGTCTCCCCAGCCGATATAGGTGAGAATCTATGTTGTGCTGTTGCAGGTAGCCAGATAAACGTTTTCATGTTTTAAGGTGCAATAAAAGGTTGGGCTGTAGAGCTGTTTCTGCCTCTTATCAGTAGCCTACCCAGGTTACTGTACTACACAACGTTAGCACTGTTAGGTGTGCAAAAAAAATCATAAGATAAAAAACTCACAGGCCACATCCAGATGAGCGCAGCCAGGAGGTATGTGGTGCTGCAGACACATCTGCAACACCACATACCACACGTTCAGGTAGTCTCCGCACTCCAAAGTAGCAGCATGCAGGGGGGTGGGGGGGAATCCCAGGATCAAAAAAAAATCCCATGCAAAGACAAAAAAAGCAGAGTGGCACATGCAGAGACAGTGCGCACCGCACAAAACTGGAGCCTGGCCAGCTGAAGCCACACTCCAAGTGGTAGGATCGCCGCTGCCACAGCTTGGAAGGAAAATTACTTTATTATATTTATGTAGTCAAAAAAAAAAAAAAGAGAAAAAAAAACAACTATGAGATGGCATTTTCCCAAGGATGCCTTGAGTCTAAAAAGTTTAAGAACCACTGATTTATGTGGTTCTCTAAAGAAATGAGATGAATTGTTAACATCAACAGGACTACTTGAATGTATGTGTTAAATGCATTCAGGATTAGGCCCTAGATTAGGGGTGGGCAAATATTTTGGCAGGAGAGCCACTTAATGAGTTTTGGTGAGCTCTGAAGATACAATTTCAACAAATTGTAGATGAAAATATCAACTCTTACACTAAAAATAAAACCTATAACATACTTTGATTTTATTTCAAAAACTATTTTTGTCCCGATTCATGTTTTTTTTGAGTAATGTATATAGAGGTGATTGCATGATGGCTCAATATAGTCTCTCTTTTGTATGTTGTGTGGGGGTGGGGAAGAAAAAGGGGGCATGTGCAGCAGAGCTCATCTAGGTAATACAGGTGCGGGAGCAATCTGTCCCTCCCCATATCCAGTCCACGGCTGCCCTCTCAATGCTTTGCATAAATCTGAGCCCACATCACACTCCTGCCTGTACCCACCCCAGCCCTGGCCACTACAGAGGTTCCTGGTGGGGTTGCATTCCACCCACTCAGCTGCCTGCAGGTAGCTGCTCATTGCACTGGGTGGACAGAGTGAGTGGAAACTGGCCGGGAGCTTGAGCTGGAGCCCCTGCACTGGGGCAGGAGCTGCCCAGCTGCAGCTTCTCCCCCACCCACTGCCGCTTCTCTACTTTACTTGCTGCTTGGAGCAGCGCAACAGGGGCAGGAGCTGCAGGAGCCACTGAAGGCAGGGGAAAGCTGAGCAGTACCCGGGAAGCTGCAGCAGTGGCAGATGCAGCCCTGCCAGGAAGCTGTGCGCACTGGCCAGGGCTGGGACCATCCAGCAGCCGTGGGTAAAGAACAGCATTGGCTGCCCCAGGGTGAAGTGGGTGGGGCTCCTCTCATGGGCCAGATTCAGTCAGTTAGTAGCTTGGATCCAGCCCATGAGCTGTATTTTGCCCACACCTGCCCTACATCTTTTGACCCTCCATTTTCCATTGCAAAATGAAAATTAGTACTTATAATACCTCTGCTAGATATTAGGATAATTTCATCTTTAATCATGAATAATTCAGATTTTATGGTTATTGGAACAAACCCATCTTAACTGATAAATAGGGCAGGGTCTGACAACTTGAAGCCTGCATGCTGTTTTAGGGTATTGGTAGCAAAGCTCAGCCTGGTGCATCACCCTCTCTCCATCCTGTGCAAGTCTCACCCCTTTCCCCAGTGTCAGAGAAGTACCCCCCTGCCACTGAATTTCTATACAGCCACAGTGTGGCACAAGCAAAGCAACCCTATTGCCAAACCTCTGGACAAGCAGTCAGAGTAGTGAAGGCAAAGTCCCCCCAGTCACTAGTCTGATCCACAGGCCAGATCTAACAGCCTGTGAACTAGATAGCACATGGAGCCATAGGTTGCCAACCCGTTCTATAGCCTCGCAGAGATAAATGGACAAAAAGATAAAAGAGCAGAGACCATAAAATAATACTGCATTAATAAATCTAGGTATTGCATAATACCTTCCTCGCACAAATTCCTGTATTTAAGGAGACAGTCTAGTATAATGGACAAAAGACTAGACTACAAGTTAGAGACCTGCATTCTATTCCTACTTCCTAGGGTCATGCAGCAGATGGAAGTGGAACAATTTCACCTCTGTTGAACTTTTTCTCCCCCCTTATCTTGCTACACCCACCTTTTAACTTTCCATTTGCATCAGCCATGTCTCACTTGATTTGTACAGCAGTTTTCAGTGGGCGCATCTGCATATTCGTTAATGTGCTGTAATTACGGTGCATTAAGTTTAGTACCAATAATTACAACTAACTTAATGTACTGTAATGTGCTACTGCGCAGCAGTGCTGCCACGCTTTTTTCATGACACTAATGCACAGTAGACTATTTGTACTGTGCATTAGCATGGTTTTTGCCAGACACGCTAATGCACAGTAGAATTAGTTTGCAGTGCCTTTGGCTTCTCATGTAGATGCACCCATTTTCAGCCGGAGATCAAAAGCGAGAAAAGTGAAAGGCTAAATTCTGAATATTCCGTAAGAACTGAACTTGGACATTCTTATATTACTTATTAAAGTAGTGCTGTGAACTTGCCTGCTTCTCGTCCCTGGAACAACAATAGCATTACTGTCTTTGTTTTTCCTCTGCAGAAAGGAAGCAAATTTATTTCTAAGTTTAGGCAGGGAGTTCGAGCTTTCTTTACTAACAGAGTCCCCTGAAGCATCAATCACTGACACTGCAGAGACCATCTTCTGTGGTTCACTGTCCTCACTGTTTTCTTTCTTGGGTCTTTTTGAAGATGAATACTGATTCAACAGATCTCCATCTGACAGCTCCTCTAAAGAGAAACACAGTTTTAATTCAATTTCACATCGGTGTAGAAGTACTCACAGAATGGAGTTTAACTAAATTGAACATCATGCCACTTAACCTTCTAACAAATCTAAAACGGTGTTAAGAGAAGGCTAATACAGACAATCAAGTACGGATTTTTAACCCAATGTTAAATCAGCAAATTTAAACTTTACTTGTACATGCTCTTTTACAAGCAGTGAACTACAAGTAAACCATTAGATAAATAGAAGTAGGGTCGGAAGGGACCTTGTAGATCTTCAAGTCCAACCCCCTGCCCGGGCAGGAAGAAAGCTGGGCCCAAATGACCCCAGCCATGTAGGCATCAAGCCACTTCTTAAAGACCCCCAGGGTAGGAGCCACTGAATAATATTAGTAGGAGTGATTCCTAAAAAGCAGACTAATGCATATAATATTTTACAAAAAAGTGGTACAACCCAAGAGAGGCAAGGGGAAAACAATTTTACGATGAGGATAACAAAACTAAGAAAAAGTATGCAAAACAAGATGAACATGAGAAAATGAAAGTTGAACAAAAAAGTTTATGCAAGATCCTGAAAATGAGAGCAAGGACCTTGAATATGAAAAAGTAAGTAGGCCAGCAAAAATTAAAAAAAAAATACTGATAGATAAAATCTCTCAAGTCTAATTAAAATTTGTATATTAAAAAATATATACCCGAGAGAGAGTATTCTCAACCTTATGCCTTCACCTCAAACAAATAGATTCCCCTTTTCCCTCTTGATGTTTTCTGTAAAGTAACATACCATTTCTTGGTCTTTTGGCCAGTAGCAAACTGCTTGGAAGTTTAAGCCCTTTGAGACTAACTATCCTCTCAATGCCTTTGGTAGTTGTTTTCTCTGGCAAAGGCATGGTAAGCATCTTAGTGTCCATATTATGACCAGGTTTATAGTCCCTGCTCCAAATACTGTTTAAATGGCCAGCAGCTCTCTCATTCCAGCCACGACTTCTTGGTTGTGAAGTCTATAAAAAGTTAAGAATAGAAAGCAAAATGTGTAGGTAAGTAGGTCAGTCAGTTTAGGTTCTCCCACTTCAGTGTATAGTCAAAATGTTCTGACATGCATACAAGTTAGTGGGAGACAGGGCTCCTCTTCAATGCTGCTTTCTGTCTGATCCCACATTTTCACATACTTTCCATACAAATTGTATCTTTTGTGCTACCGAATCCACTTCCTTTCACTAAAGCATAAGTGATTTTGTATCTATAGCATTTTGAGATAGAGTCTGTAGAGTAAAATCTGTGCTTTGATTTCTATGACAAACTTGAGAGAAGTACTTTTCTCCTACACTTAAATGTAATAAATATGAATCTCAACCATTTTAAAAGATTATTTTTATATCGGTTAATTCTGTATATAGACCCTTCATTAACCCTTACAGTTAAATGTATTTCTCTCGTCTCAAACCAACATGGCTACAACATAGATCCACAAAAAAATTCCCTTTTTGAAGATAGCTCATTGAAATAAAACAAAAACACTAGCACAGAAGCAATGGCTATTTTTTCCCCATCAAATATAATGGATTTTCCTGAAGACAGAAAAGAATGGCCTAAAACACAATTTGAGGAAACCCCTTTAAAATGTTTAACTCCCATTAATGTTTCTACACATACAAATGTTTTCATGACCTAGAGCAGAAGACACATTACCTGGTGTTCTATTTTATTGGACAGTGGAAACAATGTTTATGTTCATATTTATGTGCGTACCTTTAAGTTTTTCATAACTATTCAATTAAAAAAAGATACGGACAAAAATAGTTCAACAGATTATGCATCACCTATATTTTAGGCTCTAGAAGTAATTGTCAAAGTCCTTAACTTGCAATCAGAAAGGGAAACGGGGAGGAGGGAAGTTTACCTTCTTTGGCTACTAGCACCTGCCTAATATTTTTATACACAATGCAAAAAACACACAGTACCATAGAACAACTTTCACCCCCTGAAACATGTCTATATTAACATTGAGACACTTTATCCTATACAAAGTCAAATAGGCATCACAAACTCACTGTAAACATTAAGAACAAATGTTACCTGTGAAGCGTCAGGGTTGTAGTCATCAATTTGTTTCATTGTATTGACATCTACATTACCCAGTGCAATTTGAAAAGCAGTATTCTCACCAAAATGTCTAAGTCAATAACATAAGGAAGAATACAATGACATTAAGGAGAACTACTTGAATATTTTATGATTTAGACAAAAAGCAGGCACTAGTAGGTCAAGTTAATATAAGTGCAGCTATCCACTTCATATATTAAAATGCTGTTAGAATAACCCAGCCCAAACAAGGGCTAGGGACAGACATTCAAAAAGCCTGAGCCCGAATTGATTCAATCTTTGTCAATAAGTTTAACCTGGCTAGACTGAACCAGATTGTAACCATACAGACATCCCCTCTGGGCTGAAGAAATGCAGGCACATGCCTGCAGTGGCTCAGGCTAGAAGCCAGGGGGCACTAGAGTAGCCCTCTCTTCCCTTCCACAATGCTGAGCTGAGGGGGGCGTGGCCAGTCCCCAGCAGGGTTCTCCAATTAGGGAGGGGTTACACCCCCCCCCCCCCCCCCCCCCCCCCC